GAAACATGATTTTATAAAGGTTGCAATTATAGAATTCAAATTATTTTTATACTTGTTTGTGTTTTTACTTCCCAACGTCATTCCCATTAGATTATTAGCTTCTTGAAGGTAGAAGATACATTTTCTTTGCACTAAAGAGTAGTTTGCTGAATAAAGGCAGAAATAAATGGGTGAAGTACACAAGAGATGCTGTACTTTCATTATTAAAAGGGATACTTATAGGAATATCAATATTACTTTAAGAAAATTGTATATTCACTTTTCTCTTATTTACCATGTCTAATACGACCACATTGTATAAATTGACCTCAATGGCAAAATCAAACAAAACCAAGGAAGAGAAAAAAAAATATCATTTAAAGTCTTATACAAAGTACTTATTCAGTTCCAATTGTTTTACTATCTAGGCAGAGCTTAAAATAGGGTTTTAAGAGGTCTAATATTGTTTAGCAACGTTGTCTGAAAAGAACAACATCCTTTTCAAAGGACCTTAGCCATACAAAATCTTACATCATTCTTTAAAGTTTACTTTGCAGAATTTATGGTATCTCCAAGAAAAACATTTAATATTATGCAAAAGAGTAGTGTTTCCAGAACTACCTAAAAATGAACATATAAGAATAATCCAGAAGGAAGAGGTTAGGTGATCATGTGTTTGAAGTGAGAGATGTAGCAATAGACTCAGTGTAGGAACCATCGCTCCTCAGGCATCATCAGGTAATATGGCAATGAGCTGCGAGCTGCCTGGAGTTTTCCAATACCAGCATTTCCCCAGGAGTCACTAAATTGTAAGGAAAAGGAGCATTAATGTGTCTTAACAAATAGTGGAAATGATTTAATTTAATGAGGTAGAAAACATGAAAAGAATAGTATAAGTTCATAGGCAATTGAATCCCTCAAGGCAAGAACAGCTGCTCTTAAGGTCTCTCCAGCTGGTGAACCTGTAGTACAGTAGTTTTATTTTTTTTAATTAATTAATTTATTTATTTTTGGGTGTGTTGGGTCTTCGTTGCTGTGCGTGGGCTTTCTCTAGTTGTGGCGAGCAGGGTCTACTCTTCGTTGCGGTGGCTTCTCTTTTGCAGAGCACAGGTTCTAGAGCACAGGCTCAGTAGTTGTGACACATGGGCTTAGTTGCTCTGCAGCATGTGGGATCTTCCTGGAACCAGGGATCAAACCCGTGTCCCCTGCATTGGCCGATGGATTCTTAACCACTGCGCCACGAGGGAGTCCCTGTACAGTTGTTTTAGATGAACAAGTTTAAGGAAACAATCTCAGCAGAAGATGGCTAAGGTTCTGGTTCGTCTAAACAAATGTTTTTGAATAGTCCTAAATGAAGAGGTGTAATGGAAGGAAAGAAGTGTGTACATAGGCTTAGAGCAAGTATGACTGTAATGAAAATCCTCATGTCCTCAAAGACACCCACTGCCTGACAAGAAGATATTTGTGAAAATATATATATATTTCTAAAATTTTCAACCTATTGGTACAATCAATACCACAATTCAGGAAAGTATATATATAGGAAAAATGCCCTTCTTAGGTCAAAAATAGAGGGACTCTCTCTGTAAATGAATAATAGTAGTCTTCTTGTTTTGTACTAGTTAACATTTATCTTTGTTTGGATAAAGGTTTTAATTGCATGAATTCACTCTTAAACCAATGAAAAATTACCGGTGGTCAAGTGATTTTTCCCAGTTGTTCAGAACCTGGGGTATTTAGAAAATAACCCACTCACCTATTTTTCTACAACACTCCTTTGCGACTTTATGGGATATTTGATTACCATCTGAGGAACAGTCTACTGAAGACAGAGGAAACAAAAGATAGCTGAAGGTCGCAGTGCAAACATTAGACCCTCTGATGGATGAAACTTGCTTGTCATTTGACACAGAGGTTGTAACATAGGGGAACCGAACATTAGCTTCTGTGATGAGCTGTGGTATTTTCTTTCCAGCTGAATTTTGCATAAAGGTCCACATCCTTTGTTTATAATTTTTTTCACAAGCATCCAAGCCCCTGAAACTATCAGCTTCAGCAGACTTATTTTCCTTTTCCTCCCTCACCTTTATTTGAAGGCTTGAATAACTTTTTCTGTCCATTTTGAGAATGTTTATAATAATTTTAATGCTGGCATTCTCCCTGGGTTAAAAATGGTGCTCAAAATAATGCAACTTAAGGTTATAATAAACAGCAGTACTTCCTGAAAAGAAATTTATAGCAACTCCAAAGAGTTGATAGATTTGCAAGATAATAATGCTATTATATCATTAAAAATATTATTTAGATAATCATAACAAAATATATAGGAACATATGAAAAATATGGCCGTTTGAACAAAAGTGATAGTTCGTGTTTCCTAGATATCTCCAAAATAAAGTAGTTTAGTGCACTTTTAACTTATTTGATAATACTACAATAAGAAAAATTATACAACTACATTCTGAAGTGCCTCTCCTCCTTTGTGAGGAAATGTTTCCTTAGAATTACAATCGACCCTTGAACAATGCTGGGGTTAGGGCCACTGACCCACACATCTGGAATCCTGCATGTAACTTTTTTAACTCCATAGTCCTCATCCACGGATTCAACCAACTGCAGACCCTATAGTACTGTAATATGTATTTAGTTAAAGAAACCCCTGTATAAGTGGACCTGCACAGTTCAAACCCATATTGTTCAAGGGTCCACTGTAGTTAGTCTTTGATCTGCTGTTAATGGAATTATGTGTAGTCATCATTTAGGTAAATCTTAACCCTATATGCAGTTGTGGATCTTAATGCCCCAAAACAATGTCTCAATATTTCTGAGAGTGCCTAGTGGTATCTAAAATGGACTTAATAATAAATGCAATACTTACTTCATAGTGTATTTTGCCTGTATGTCTTCCAATTCCCTCTGTTATACTACTTTGTCTTCCCATGCACCATTCTCAATGCAGTGGAGCCCAGGAAGTTAGAAATATCTTACAAAGTGGGAAAGAAGCCTTTATCCACTTTTGGTATTATCCTCTGTTTGATTATCATTAAAGTGTCTTATGGAATATACAGTTTTTAGTGAAATAGCTCTTTCAGATTTTAATAACAAGTCTGACTTGCTTCTCCCCCAACTCCAAACTTAGCTGAGCTCAGTGTGGAGCTAAGTTTGGATGTATCTGAGTGGCTGGGAACAAATCATACTCTCAATGGCTCTTCCTCGCTTTTGATGAGGGCTTAATTACTGGATTGAGCTTGTCATGTCTGAATACCTCTTTCTTGATTGGGAGTTCTTTCTTATGAGGCTCCTTAGTGCCTCAAGCAAGACGGATCTCAACTTCTCACCATGTCTGGTGGGATCTCAGATATGGGGATCCTCTCCTGTCTGTATTGTTTTGGAGTCATGCGATTCCTTAAATTTTTCTGATTTAGTCTTGTATTGATATTTTGTATTTCATGTAAATAGCTAAAGTAACTAGTGTTCAGACTGCCTGAAAGGAAGTTTGCTTGAGTGGTACAGGCTTCCTGAAATTGTCATAAAAACCATGAGTAAAAAATAAGCAACTCAAGGTTTCAGATATGGTCACTGCTTGAAGTACATAATGACCTTAGAAGATTTGGGGGCACATAGTATGACTGGTAAATGTTTTCAATGGTGATAGCTTTTTTAGAAAAGTTACAAGGAGGTAGGTACAATTACAAAACTGCAAAATGATTTTGAAAACTGAACCAGTTTGAACTTACATGTTAAAGCGGCTAGAATATTTGAAACCCTAAAGTGTTTCAGTCCACTGCTCTGTGCATAGATAACTAAAAAAGACATGGCAATCAGTGCAATTACCAGTCCTAGTCTCCATCAGGAACAAACTAAAGAAAAATTGTTCTTTAGTGTTTTCCTATTTCCCAAATCACTTTTTTCTTCCCTCACTCTCATACCGAAGGATCCAAATGCATTATTGCATACTCTCTTGAATGCCCCAAGATCCTTACAATAAACCTGTCATCTTTAAGCAATACTTCTATGCTGTGGTGCCATCATTCTATTTTATACCCTATGAAAAACAGCTTTCTGGCAAATGAATATGTTGAAAATATTTGAACAACGAATTTGTACCTCTTCCAGAATGTTCTTTTATACAATGGCATACCACTCTGACGTTGAGATTTGGGGTATTAGGAATGAATTGAAGTGGGAAGGATTATTTTCTCATAATCCACCAAAGTGCATGAAAGTGGTGGTCAATATACTTTCTCCACATAAAACTGATGTCATTCAGGACACACTGTAGTTGGGGACTGTATCTTTACAAGAGAGGCAATATGGCATGTTAAGAACATGAAATTTGGAATGCTGGCTCAACAACATTCTGTGATCCTGGACAGGTCTTGATATTTCGTTAGTAAATAGAACATGTTAGTAACATCTATGCCACTGGGTTTAGTCAAGAGAAAAGACATGAGGTATTGTAGGCCTGTATATTTTATGAACTGTTACCTGCTACATTGAGAATGGCTCAGTACTGAGAATATAGTATTTGATTTCCATATGTACATGTATATATAGAAATGCCACATTAGGCATACAGCCATTTTCTAGAATAATATATGCATATGAATATTTTTACATAAATGCTCTTTTCTACAACAGTTATCTTAATTTACATTATGTTTTTTATCAGTAGTCTTGGAGATTTTTAGCAGAGTTTCAGAAGGTGAGATATGAAGAGGGGAGGCATCCTTAAGTACTTTAAAACCCCTGCATCCCTGCTGCCCTAAGACTTATATCCTTTGGTCAAAGAGTTTGATTTCAAGCCATTTGGACATAGATGAGTATATTCTGAAGAAGTCAATGAAGTTTTGGTTAAAACGAAAATGATACATGCACATTTCTGTAGGCAATGATGACAGTTCCATAATAAAACACAGTGAGGCAAAGAGAAAAGAAAAGATATAATTCTGATAATAATTTGAATTTTATCAAGATGCAACTCAAACATTTTAAACCATGTTTTTTATTGTTATTTTTAGATGGGGCACACTGAGAGGAGCAAAGGGGCGGAAAGAAAAATTTTGGGTATGTAATGCTTTTCAATTAAATTTCTACTGTGAAGTGAGTATTTTAGAATCATCTGTATTCCCAGCTTTGTATTATTTAGTCATATCCTAAGTCACTGTAATATAATTTGTAATACTGGTATTTTCTCCAACAGAAAATCCATTATAATCATTTATATTATAGTAACATTTTACAACTCCTCTTACCTCAAATTATAACAGATGAATCAGTATTATTTTTCAAAATGAGAATCAACAGAATAACTTTTGTTCTATTATCACCTATATTAAAATTAAAGGAATGTTTAGAGTTCTCACATATGTGTCAATCAACTTTGTATTCTTACATTATTTTTGCTATGGGTGATGCTTTTGTAATGTTAGTATCAAATATATATATATATATAGTTTTGTTTTTGCCATCTATAACATACACATGATTCTTTACTTAGAAAAAACTAATATCTAGTCTAAAAAAATAATAAAAGGTATATGTAAGAAAGTTTGAAGAAGATTGGAATATATTATCTCAAATATTCAGTTGATTACAATAAAGAAACTTATCCCAGGTCCTTATATTATATACCTTTTTTCCCCCAGAAATAAAGTTTAGGTAATGCTATTCATCATAGAATTTGAACTTGAATGTATGCATTACAGGGCATATTATAACTTATAAAACACTAAATATTAGGGCATGTGCTCACTCAAGTGACTCTTGTTAATTAGATTTCTCCACAAGGCACTCACAAAAATCAATCACCCAAGTATGTGGTCACCACTCGTATTTGTCTTGTTGACATATGGAGGTGTTATGCTTTTGAGTAGAATGATGTTTCTTTGTATTTGAACTGAGCTTTCTTAAATATCATTTTCCTTATTAAAATAGCTTGAGATAGTCAATAAAATTAGTGTTCAATAGTTAACATTTACGATATGTGAAAGAGAATATATTATTTGAGCCTCCTGGAATATTTCTGAATGCAGAATAATGTGAGTAGTTAAGGGTGGGGGGACGGCAGAGTGAAATCATCTACAGCATTGCCAAACCCAGGGTAGGAGAAGCCTGAAAAGAGCCTGAAACACACACATGGTAGGTACAGCCCTGAAATATTTGAAACCAGGTGCAATTAAGTTTAACCCAAACTTTTCTCTAGCCCTGATCCTACTCAGTTCTTTACTAAATTGAGGGGATTAGTCCCTTACCATATCTCTCTAGGAGAAGAAAAGGCTAACCTTCTTTGGAAAATAATCTCAGTGTCAATCTCTATGTAGTCCGCCCTCCATATCTGAGGGTTCTGCATCCACAGATTCAACCAACTGTGGATCAAAAATATTTTTAAAATTCCAGAAATTTCCAAAAGGCAAAACTTGTGTTTGCTGTACACGGGCAACTATTTACATATCACTTACATTGCATTTGCAACTATTTACATAACGTTTACATTGCATTAGGTATTATAAGTAACCCGGAGATGGTTTAAAGCATACGAGAGGATGTGTGTAGGTTACATGCAAATATTATGCCATTTTAAATAAGGGACTTGTCAACTAAAAAAATTGCACAATGTGAGGGTTGTGAGTTAAGTTTTATTTGGGGCAAAATAGGGACTATAGCTCAGGAGACAGCATCTCAGATAGCTCTGAAGAACTGCTCAGAAGAGATAGGGAAGAGGTCTGTATATATATATGATTTTAGTGACAGGGGAATACATGTAATCAAGCATACATTTTTGCAGAAGGTTGCTGCTAGTTTCATGAAGGTTACTGCTGGTCACAAGAAGCAGATGTCTCCGTTCAGGATTTTAGTGCTTTTCTATATTTGAGAAGGTGCAAGAATTTGGACTCATAAAATCTTCTTCTGAAACTATCTAATTATCTAAAGGCCTGTTCTGCCAGTTTTTCCCAGAGCACAGTGTGCCTCATTCCTGATCTCCACCCTGAGCTCCTTTCAGGTGTGTTGAAGCTCAGAGACTGAAGTGGCTAATGACTTTATCCTTGTAGAGGCAGATGTCAGGTGTCAGTTTTTAGTTGGCAGACTTGAGCATCTGTGGATTTTGGTGCAGTGAGAGAGGGGTCCCCTGGAACCAATCCCCCACCGATACCAAGGGACAACTGTAATTATTATGGCAAAGTATCCAGCATGCATTTAAACATTTTGAGACGTGTAGCAGAAAAATGTGACCAATAACCAAGGGAAAAAACTATCAATAGAAGCAATAGATGTAATAACCATTGTAAAAGTGTTTTTAAAATATGAATGAAAAGATAGAGAATTTCAACAAATGATTTCAATCCACAAAAAGAAAAGAATTATTGTAGGTGTGAGTGCAGTGTCTGAAATTAAGAACTCACCATATGGGTTAAATAGCAGGCAGAATTAGATATCTTAAATAAATGCAATAAAATATATCCAACTTGCAGTACACAGAGGAAAATATAATGAAAAACCCAGAACACTGGGAAGAGACGGGTGGGACACAATCAAATGTTTTAACATACATGTAACTGTATTCTCAGAAGGATGAGAGAGAGAATGAAGCAGAACCAATATTTGAAGAACTGATGACCAAAAGTTTTCCAAAATAGAAAGACACCAACCTAAATTCGGAAGCTCAATAAACTCTAAGTAAGAGAAACTAGAATTTTATATCCAGTGGCAACTTTCTTCAGAGAAGGTAAATCAGAAACATTTTCATTCAAACAAAAGCTAAGATAACACAGCATCAAAAATATAAAGCAAAAGTTACAGAAGAAAAGAGAAAGACAAATCCACAATTTTGTTGTATATTTCAACACATCCTACTTATTATTTCATAGAGTAAGCAGCTAAAATATAGGTAAAGATATAGAAGATTAAAAAAAACCTATTAGCTAGCTTTATGTAATTAAAATTCATAGAATACTAGATACAACTGTTAATGAATATACATTCTTTTAGTGCATATGGATTAGTTGCCAAAGTTGACCATATGCTGGGTCATAAGGTAAGTTCAACAAACTGAAAGGATTGAAATTTTACAGTGTGCTATGTCAAAACTTGTGTTACTTAGCTAAAGCAGTACTTAATGTAATAGAAGATGCATGTATTTGAAAAAAAGAAAGGTTAAAACCAATGCATATATTAAAAAAGGAAAAGTTGAAAATAGTAATCCAGTAAGCTAGATAAAGAACTCAGACCTCCAAAAAATAGAATGAAGGGAATGAAAAGGAGAAGGGCAGAAATCAATGGGAAAAAAATGGACATACAATAGAGAATATCAAGAGGGCAAAGATATGATTCTTTGAAAAGATTAAATTCCTAGGAAGAATCATAAAGAAACCAAGAGAGAAAAAAATTTAACATAGAAATGAAAAAAGAGGACTTTCTTCAGTTTCAATAGATATTAAATAGGTAATATAAGATGCTATGCAAGCATTATGCCAATATATTTGAAAATATAGATGAAATGAATAAACTCCTTGGAAAGCAAAGCATCAAAACTCACACAAGGTGAAAATAGAAAAGTCTAGTTATAATACTATTTGAAAAGCTGATTCTGTATTAAAAAGAAACTCTTACAGAAAACACCAGTCTCTAATTGCTTCACTGGTAAATTCTTCCAAACATTTAAAGAACAAATGAAATCAATTTTATGTCAATATCTTTTAGGAAATAGAGAAAAAACAGTTCCCAACACACTTCATGAACCAACATAACACCAATACCAAAACTTGACAGGGACAACACAAGAAAGGAAAACTACTGGGCAATATCTCTTATGAACACAAAATTCTACACAAAATATTACATCTGTAAAATATATTAAAAGGACAATATACTATGATCAAGTGAGGTTTATTGCAGGAGTGCAAAGTTGGTTTTACACGTAAAAGCAATGAATATAGTTCCTCTACATGCCAGACTAAAGATGGAAAAATAAACATGATTATCTTAATTTGTACAGAAGATGCAATAATAACAGTTTTTTTGCCACCTGCCCCCTCATAGGTACTCTCATAAATCCTTTCCAAACACGGTAACTTCAAGGTCATTAGGAGAAAACAATTTCTGATTTCTAGACTCTCTTCTACAGGGCTCACATGATTAGCTTAGGCAGAATAATCTCCCTTTTAATTAACTCACAGTCAGTTGATTGGGAATTTGAATCACATCTTCAAAATCTGTTCAACTTTGTGAGATAACATAACCTAATCACAGAAGTGATATCCCATTATATTCTCAGGTCCTTCCCACACTCAAATGGAAAGGATTATATGGGGAAAATACACCAGGGAGGAGGAATTTGGGGGTCATTTTAGAATTCTGCTGACCAAAGAAGTCATTTATGATCTAAAACCTCTGAAAATTGGGAGTAGAACATGCCTTCCTTCACCTTATAAACTTTATCCACAAAAACCCTATAGCTAACATCATAATTAATGGTAAAATACTGAATGCTTTTCCCTTATTACTGAAAAATAAAACATTCATTGTCGACATTTTTATCAAAATTTTACTTAAGGTTCCACCTAGTGCAGTAAAACAAACAAACAAACAAAAAATAAAGGGGGGTGTGGAAAGAAATATAACTGATGTTATTTGCAGATGACATGATTATGAATATGGAAAATCAAAAAAAATATATATATATAAATAAACTATTAGAAACAGTAAGCATATTTAACAAGCTTTCTTGATATTAGAAAAATATAAGAAACAAATTATAGTTCTATATAGTAACAAGAAACAATGGGAAATTAAAAATAAACATGACCTAAAATGATGTAACCAGACCAGTCCCTCCCATCAGGAAACTTCAACAAGCCTCTTAGATAGCCTCATCCACCAGAGGGCAGACAACAGAAGCAAGAAGAATACAATCCTGCAGCCTGTGGAACTAAAACCACATTCACATAAAGATAGAAAAGATGTAGAGGCAGAGGGCTATGTGCCAGATGAAGGAACAAGATAAAACCCCATAAAAACAACTAAATGAAATGGATATAGGAAATGTTTCAGAAAAATAATTCAGAATA